TTGTTTATAGAACTATCAATGACATTATAAGCATCTCTTCAATAAAGAATTTTAGGAGAATATTCTTAGAAAAAAAATAATAGTTTTGAAACTTTTTTTTTCTCCTTGATTTTTAATCGGTTCAGCTCTGTTTAAAACTTTTTCGGTTCGGTTCTAAAAAAAGAAGAACCGGTCCCACCACTGATACATATCTGATATATTATTATTTAGATAGCTTGTAACTAGCATTTCGATTGTTTTGCATTCTTTTCTTTTATAATCAACAATGTCAAAAGTTTTTTCCTGGATCAGGATTAATAGTGTAATTGTAAATGGTTTTCCAACTGTCTAAGGCTGACTAAATAATACTTAATTAACTAGCACTGAATGGGTGAAACATAATGTCTGATCTTTGGTATTTTTTGTTAATAAGAATATGCAAAACATTTGACATTCCTTTTATGTTTTTGGTTTACTTTTAAGAAAATTTACAATTTAGATTGTTTAGCTTTCCAATGAAAAAATTTACGGAAGAGACACCTGTTATTTATCAATCGAAAACATCGATTAGCTACTTATGTTAATCCGTTAAACAATTTGAAGAACAGCATATTCATCTTTCTAACTCATGATTATGCACATGATTTTTAAGCAAAAAGACTAATCGTTTGAATCTGAGGTACCCTTTACATGAGTACCAAGGCTAGAACGCAATATTCAGTGAATGGAGATAAATTTAAAAAGGAGTTGAGTTTTCACTGAGTGCTTTTGAGCAATTTTTTTTTCAATGAAATGTTTTAGACTTGTTGAAATGTAGTAATGCATTGTCAATTAATATAATGTTCAAGCTTCTGCATATCATACCTTGAAGAAATATTAATTTCAGATAACAAAAGTTTTTCTGCAGTTCTGTTGATTTTTTAGAGGAAATGTGAAGATAAAATAGATTTGTTTAAAATTTTATTGGCTTCTCTAGCATATTGAGCTTGTGCCGTCCTTGAATTGATTGCATATTCATGTGAAAATAGTTGCTCAGAAAAAATATTGATAAGAAAAATTGTGTCTCATTTGCACCCAAAATTTTGAATTTTTCAGGTATATTGAGCGTTTTTGGTTAGAAATGACGTTTTAACGACTTTTATGCATTAATCTAACGGAATTGAGCAGAAAAACGCATAAAAAAAGTGGAAAAAAATGAAAATGTTGAAAAATTCGACGAAAACACGATTTTTTGTGCGTTTTTTGAAACAAACGAAAAACGCGCACAAATTTCGACTAAAAGTCGACATTTTAGTTCAAAAAACGTGAAAAATCCACATGTCTGTCTGCTTGGGTAGCCTATGATACTTCGAATTATCAATATAGTATTATTGTGTATTTGCCTATCGGTCGTTGACAACAGACTTTGCCGAACTTATTTCGCCAACAAATTTTTATCGATGGACACATTCTGGGTAACAAGCATTTCATTTGAGATGTTAATGTCCACTATACTGATATAACTGTCCCAACAGTTCTTTTGATAGGAAACGATTTGTCTTAATAGTTCTTTGTTAGCAATTGATCTGTATAGCAGTCGTCTTTGAATGAACTAGTGCCACCAGACATCTCATTTTCACCTTCCCATTAAATATATAATTACTTTATTCGGAAATCATGCTTGTGTACTGCATAAATGGGCTGAAATGAAGCTAACAGAAACCTCTTGTTAAAATATTCATTACTGAAAATAAAGATCTCTTTCTTTTTCTTACACTCTCAGGCTTTTTATGGACCTTTTACCGACTCCTATCCAATATGATACTGTAAATATTGACTATTTTCTACAGATTTAAGATTTTTAGCAGTTAGGCTGAATTATTCATACAATATACTGCACTAACCTATCTTTCTATTTTTTCAAATTCTACACGTCTATCGAGATAATGTTCTGATTTAGATACTTGATTGTTTAAGCTTAATGATTCCATAAAAAAGTCATAAGATCTGAAGGAGTGAATCAAGCAAACTATAACACATTTCGACCTTCCTCAAAAGTCTGTTCTGATTATCCGAAGATCACCAATCTTAACCATTCGATGAAATCCCCAGAGAAAATTTTTCATCAGTGATGTTGTTCTTTTTTATTGTAGCGGATCTATTCTTAGGTATAAAAACATAGTTTATGCTTATATCTTTAATCACCGAAATTGACAGTAAATAAGTTCAATAACATCGAAACTAATTATAAGATTTTGATCAATCAAAGAAAGAATAAATAAATACTGAACTTTTTTTTCTTTTTCTCTTATACATACAGTTGATTTTGGAATTTTGTTATTTTAGGATAGTTTTTTATATGATTGACCTTTTGTGAAACATCCTTTTTAAGAAAAAAAAAACAATCGATTCAATGAATATGGCAATTATCCCGGCTTTGATTAACTATGCTTCTATAGAAAAAGATCGGAAAGAGTCAAATCATGCAAACTTAATTTTCATTGAAATGTTTTATAAGGAGAATAAAATAATTTTGCTTATTATTGAAATAGATCAAATTTGACATGAACGACAGAGTCAAATAAAAATATATTTTCGATACTCTTGTGAACTGATATTTGTTTTAGATTGAAATGAAAAATGAAAATGAAAGTAACCTATTTCTCGTGTTTGTCAATATATCTTCGTTTGATACAGGTAAAATAGTTAGAAAAAATGCTTTGCTTTCTTGAATATTCTATGCATAATAAATACTTTTTTTGCTGAGATCTGTAGATGACGTGTATCGTTCATTATCAGAAGTGTTTGTTTTGCTTTTTTTCTTTCATGATATTTGATGAATGTTTTTCATAAAAAAGAGTGTAACAGTTTATTCTTTTTTCTTTTATTGTCTGTTATCAATTAAACAAAAGAAAGCGAATAATTAATAACAAGAAAGATCTTTTTATGTTTATGAAAATTTACATGAATCTTATATATCTATATCTCGACCATTCTTAATATTTGATGATATTTACTATCAACTGTTGTATACATCTCCAGACACAACAATTACTAATATCAGTTTTAACTATATTCATACATATTCTACTAACTTACGATTTGCACAAAAAATAAAAATAAAAAAAATGGATGACAAGGTATAATCTCAATTTTTGTCAATTGTATCCATATAACGTTGTAATGATGAAATAAATTTCATTAATATTTTCTTGATTTTTTTTAGCAAGAATTGTTTTTTTTTTTCGCTGTTAATATAAATAATTTGAAAGTTTTCTATATATGTAATATAATAATGGATGCATTGTTTGACAAACACTTGGTGTAAAATGTATAGTAGTTTTTCTAATGATTAAATATTAAACTGATGAGAGAGAATTGTAAGAAAATAAATAGTTATGAGAGATGTTTGAACAATGATTAAAAAAAAAGATTTTTTTTTTTCAAGTAAAAAAGAATAAAATATATTTTGGATGATTGTTACTTAATCATTATTTTCTCTTGTCAATTCTATTAGAATTGGTAAAATAGAAAATAATATAATGATTGGTATAATAAATAATTCATTATTAAATATATCACGTGATCAATGTATATGTCAAATGATAAAATCAAATGAATTAATATCTACTTTAAATTATTTTCAAATAAATAACATTTGTCAATTATTTTATCAGAATATTAGTTCAATTATAATTAAATTTCATGCAAATTCTTCTTTTATATTTATTAATCAATCATTAGATAGAGCTCATCAAACTGATCAAAAGTATCATCTTTTCCTTTTTTTCTATAAAGTTTTGGACGAAAAACCTTCGAAATAAAAACAATATAAGAGAAAGTTGAATTTCGATCGATAACAAGAAAGTGAAAGTGTTCACCCTTTTACGTTTATTTTAACTTTCCAAAAATATTATATTTAGATTCAGCATCTTAACATGAGAATATTCATGCAATAGGCCCATATGTAAACATATTGACACACCATTCGAAGCGTTATCCAATGGAGAATCAAGTTACATATTGCTTTTGGAAAATATTACTGTTTCGCTGAGTTAAGTCAATTTTACTGAACCAGAAATGATAACAAAAAATCAGTATTTTCTTGTTGCTTTTGACTTCGATTCGAAGTTTGGTTTTCACTTTCGCAGACAGGATGATGACAAGAAAAATTTACTGTTGACAGACGTGTACAGAGGGTCTTGTGTATCAAACTTGGCTGTTTTGTATTCAAAAAGATTAAGGAAGCAAAAATGATTGATGTTCACAAAATTTGCCTAATCTATTACTTTTGAATTATGCTTTATAGAACAAGCTGTCAAAAAAGTTGAACAAGAAAACTTTTTACATTTCGTACTTAACTTCACTGTACGATTCCTTGTGATCCAAGAACAAATGAAAGAAACTATATTCGTTAAATAAAAGCTACTATTCTATGCAGAGTTTTAAGGTTCCCCTAAAAAAGTTACTTTTCGTCAGAATGATCCAAATTAACATAAATTCAGGAAAAGATAGCCTGTGATCTTATCTCTCATAAATGACAAAAATTTTTTACTCAACACTTCGTTTTGTCCAAAAATCTTTGAAGATTTTCATCATCCCTATTTGGAAACTAAGCAGTTTTTGCAACAAAAAAAAATCTTTTCGTCGTTTTTTTCTCGTTCTACAGGTTCTCGATCGTCATAAATAGATACATATTTTTATTGCTTATGATGATATATTTTAGGTACTTCGAATTCGTCTTTATCTTTAATAAACGCATTTTGGTCTTTTGATGGTAGTAGAAATGAAAGAAATTCAAATCATAATAGTTTATCAAATGCATCTTTTTCAAGTCCAGGTATCACTGGTTATGGTTTTGCATTATGTTTTAATGTTAGTCTTAAATAATATGTTTTAATTAATTCAACAATTAATTTAAATATATCATTTAAAAGTTTTACATTTGAATTTTGGATATATCCATTTTCGTTTGTATCTGGTGGTGATCGAGGTATGATAGGTCAATGTCCATCTCACATACAGCAAACAAATGTTTACATATGACAATAAGAAATAGTAAAATTCGAATTAGTTTTTATAGTAATGCATGTGATGGTTCAAAAACACTACTGATTAATACATGGTATCATTTAATATTTGTTTATGATTTATTCTCAACTACTCAAATGATTTATATCGATGGTATTCTTGATTGTATTAACCGAACACGTGCACCATTGCAAATAACAAATTTAAGTTATATACCTCTTACAATAGGTTATACTTCTCCATTGGCTCCATATTATTTTGATGGTCTTATTGATCAATTATCATTAGTTGAATGGGCTAAAAATACCAGTGAAATTCTCAATGATGTAACACTTGTTAGTTGATATTCTTTTGATAATAATTCAACACAAGATTTCGGACCAAATGAAATAAATAAAATTAGTATTAATACAACGTTTGAAAATAATTCACTTTTATTAAATAAAATAAAATCATATTTTCAATCATCTAATTTTGTTCTTCTTGGAATTGATAATCGTTTATATTCTTTTTCAATTTGGATTAATCCTTTTCAAACAAACGGAACTATAATATTATATATTTTTCAAAATAGTTCAATTAATACAAAATGGTGTTTATCATTTCTTCGATTTAATACTCAAGGTCAAATTCAGGCACAAAGTCGACTGAATGGAGGATTAAATCAGTGTGACAGGTCCATATATTTTGACTTATACTTGGACACATATTGTTCAAACATATTCATCAATTAATGGTGTTAGTCTTAATATAAATGGATCATTATTTAATACATCGTCGCCATGTGATTATCATGGTGGTAATACACCATTAACTATTACATTAGGTAGTTATATTTATAATATAAATGAAACATGTTCAAATTTCGTGTTTATTCAAGAGAATTAACAGCTACTGATATATAAACATTATCAATAAGATAATTTTACTTTATATGAAATAAAACTCAAACTTGTATCCTTCAAAACAGTGCTTAATCAAACGGAAGGCATCAATTGCTTTTTTTTTCTTTTAAGTCTATGAATCCCATTATTAGAATACAACGAAAAATGATAACATTCGATTTTCTTATGATGATGAATTAGTCCTTATTTTTGCCGTGATGTTCTTTCTTAGAATACAAAAGAGTCTGTTGTCTTTCCAGAAAACATAGAAAAGAAGTCAATGGAGAGAAAAAAGAACCAAATAACATAAGTTTATGTTTTTTTGGGGTGTGGATGTAATTGAAGATAAGAATAGAATCCACATGCACACCCGAACACTTATTCTTTTGATTTGCGCTAAATGTTCCTATTTAGAACAGATGTAGTATTCTTCAAACTACCATTGATTACTCCTTGATTTTTCATGATAATTAGGTAATTTATTCATCATTTGACTCAATTACACAAAAAAATTTAGATTAACCCTAAGTAATATTAGAAAATTTTTACTACGTTCAAAAACCCGATATAGTTAAGGGCATCACTTCTATGTCATTTATTAGTTTATATTGAGCATCGCAAATAAAATAGAATTAGTAATTCTGGACTAATAGTGGTCACATGCGCAATAGTTGAATAGTATCGTGATAAGCAGAAACACGAAAAAGTTACTAGTGTTGTTAAACGACTACATCCACAAAGTAAACCAATGGTCAATATATTGGACTCCGAACGAGTCTTCCGCCGTTAAACGAGTGTGATCGATCAGCCACTGCCGAAGATTTTTACTAGCTTCATCTGATGGTGAGCCATTAACGTCGAACCAAGTGAGTTTGCTGTTCCATTGAGCAAATGCTATCAAGACCATTGGATCAACGATCATAGTTGAATCTTTCAGCTCTATGATAAGAACACGAAGATTGCTAAATACTTGACAGGTCTGTTTCAGCACATTCGATTCATTGTCTGGCCAATTGCCAACATCGAGACGAACGATTCGTTGTTGCAACAGACGGCATGTAGGCTCGTGATTGAGTAGACTCTTGAGACAATCGAAGTGAACACTCAAATAGTTAAGATTGGGTGCTGCATTGAGAAAGTCGAGTTGCAGACAAATCCCAACTATTTCAAGCTTTCTAAGGCGAGGCAAACTTAAAAGAATTGGTTGTGTCGGTGATGCTACAGCAGCTATATACATAAAGAAACACGCTATTCACTCGATAATATATCAGACTTTATGAGTTGATTGAAGAAAAACTAGAAAAAATGCTTTAATGCTCGCACATAGAAAAACAGTTAGATTATGACTCAGTTGACATTTGGTAAAGTAGGACTATAAATATATACTTCTTATGAGAGGACTCCGAAGATAATAGTTAATTAGACAGAGATATTGAAAAAGCATCAACTGGATCTGGAAACAAATGCTGGATTTTTATATATAGTTTTTGTTGTCTATTAAACCGTCTACTGAACTAAAGCTTGACTTTTTTGTTTACAAAAATGAGGGTGTGGGTAAAAAAAATTAAACAAAGTATTTCAACAAATCTACTTGAAAATTAATCAACTATTTGTAAACAATATAGTTTATTCCTTGTAAGTAATGAGCATCATAGACTAAAATCCTGTTTATTTTACAATTTTTTTTTCGAGTTATTTAGAGTAATAATGCCCACAGTTTCAAGTAGTAAGTCATCATTGTCAACAGCTTACTTCCAACATTGTTTCCAGAAAGGCTAAACGAACTCGATTTTTCTATTCTACTACGGGAAGGAGACAAAGATCATTATGACTTACTATCTTCTTAATTAAGCCTATCTGATTTACTCATATCTTAAAATATACTTTGTTTTTGACTTTATACTCAAGATATTGATAATAGTTTTTATGAGTCCTACTTAAACAATGGTTCTCATGTGATGAAACGGGAGAATAGAGACAAAAAAAACATACAATGTTCTAATTGATTCTTTGAGTGAATCGTAAGTGTCCGAAGCCGATGGAAATGTTGTACAATGACGAGTAGATCGGTGAGACTTGTTGGTTCATAGACGTATAAGTCTTCAACTTTTTGCATATGTTTGTAAACTGACAATATCTGTTGACCCATTTCTGCTCGTAAAAGGATTGAACGTAGGTTAAAAGGAACGGTATAAATTAACACACGTTGCCATGTTTCGTCCAACAAACAGTTGACTGGAAAGTGTGCTGGCCATGAAGCAAGTAACTCATCGATCTCCAAATTCGGCTCAGAAAAGTAATAGCGAATGAAAACATGAATCTGTGTCACAGATGAAGGCAGAGCCAAGATAAGAGCCTTTCCCTTGGCAAGACGTTCATCGTCAGTGCGCAAATCGAGTGCCAGTCTCTGCAACAAGGGCATTTTATGCAATACATCAATAATTTCATCTAACGTCCAATGAAGGTTGATCGAACGTAATTGAAAATCGATGAGATGAACAAGAGGGGACACGTTTGCGATTGTTTTTTGAAACTCTAGACGATCTAATAACTCGTTGAGCGTCACATGCAAACGACGTACATTCGGTACGATTGTTAAAAGTCGTGGAAATAGTCGACTTAGTTTCAAGTTGACTATGAGTTCTTGAATATTTGGATAGGATACTGTTTCATCACCTTCAGATATATCCAAATAAACTGAGTCCTCATTAAACGACACAAAGGAGAGTCGGCCGTTGTTGGCAGCAAAGATTTTTGTCAGCAAAGTATTTTCAGCTTCTTCCTTAAGACATCGGATGTTGAGTTCGACCAGTTGTGGAAGATCATGAAGGGTGTCAAGGAACGATGAAAGTCGTTCACCAGTAAACCATTTAAGTGTCAATTTTTTTAATTGCGGAAACATAGTTGATAGTGGTGAAGCAAAAAGAACAGTAAATGCTTCAGCAGACATTATTGTTTCCCAATTGCCATTTAGCACCAAAGATTGAACAGAAGAACCGATTCGAGACAGAACATGAGAGATAACATAGTTAAATGGTCGGTATGCGGCGCCTAAGAGATTGATATGATGACAGTAGCCCACTATTGTAATATTGAGACGAACATTAAGATTAAAAAAAGAGTAGAGAACATCGGTTCCGCTTAAATAACGACACACTTGTAATATTATTTCGTCGGGAAATATTTCAAAATTGGAATACCCAGCCATCTAGAAGAGCCATTTATTATGTATAATTCATCAAGAAAAAAAGTATCATTTTGCTCGAGACGAATCTGCTCGCTACGTATTATCGTAATATGACTAAAGTTGGAAGAGCACAAAAATGTTTTTTCGTGGTATGAGTGTTGTCTAGTGTAACGGAAATTTGAATAATATATAGATCAATGTTTTCTTGACTTTGTCTTTGTTTCTTTTGATTTCAATACAGTTCCGTTACTTCTTGCTATCACTTAAACTTTTATTTCGACACTACTCTTGTTTAAATACAAATTCTTACACCACAACACATATAATTCACACATGTGTGTTACGTTGCTCGATCTCACTTTCGACTCTCACTATTATCAACCGTTTTCTCCTCTACTGTGTATATGCTCTACTCTTCTCTTCTTCCTTCTCACGAGAAAAGAACAATGAACATAAATACAGGGTATAGGGAAGTGATTACACAAGTATTGAAAAAGAACAATGTATAGCGTAGCGATTACAAAGGCATTGAAAAAAGAACAATGTATTGAGTACTATGAGCAGTATTACGTATAGATACAAGGATGACATTGTACTAGAGATGGTATGAAATAAGAGTGGCATAACGTAAGAATGATATCATATTCAAGTGATAACGTATCACATTGGTGTATCTCTTGGCACATCTAGCTCGATCATCAATCTCTTGTCACGTATAACAAGAGCTGACAGAATGAAAGGAAAGAAAAATACATATTTATATCTACAATCAGTGTTAGAAGGTTAGATGCAACGTCATTGTATGGAGACGCTGCCAAGATTAACAACTTCTGAAACATAGAGATATTCTCTGTCGCTATAAACACTGAGATGTTGACTTTATCGAAGTATCCATCGTTATTCCTTTTATTTATAATCATCAACCAAAATTAATGAAATGAACACATCTATCCTTCCAAAAAATAGCATAAATTTAAGCAATCTATGTGAATTAATATTTAAACTAAATGTTATCGAAGACTTTCTTTGTATACTGTGACGCATACAGAACGTATGCATACTCCTGTTCATACGTGAATCCATGAAACTTCAGGAATAATGATAACTTTTAGTTCTAAATGAAGAGGTATATACCTGACGTAGCAGGCGAAACAAAAGTCGAATATTTTGTTCTCTCTTATTTAATTGTGTAATACGATGTATTGGACGAGATGACAAAAAAAGTGATATTGAAGCATTCAATTTTACTTTCTAATTGCGCAAACGAAACTTGTAGAAAATGAAAGAAAGAATTAAGAAAATGTTAGAAGCGAAGAAGAAGAATAAAAGAAAAAGATAATAGAATAAGGAATAGAAAAGAATAGTCAAATCATCACTAAAATTATGTGAAAATAGCAAACTAATAACGTTCTCATTCGCTAACACACTATAATGTTGGATAAATGATATTAATCCTACGAAAAAAATCTGAGAAACCATTAAGCTGAGATGCTTTCATTCAATGAAAATTTTCTGTGCATCCATAGATTACGTCCAAAAGATGTCGTAGTATTCCGTATATAAATTATAGTCTATGGTCCTAAACATTGTGACAGATATAGTTAGATGTGTGTTTATCTCTTCATTTTGGTCGTGTTGTCCCCTTATGATATTGTAACTTCAGTAAGTGAAGGAATCAACCGTTTCTACCTGTTGATTCTGAATATTAAGATCAATATCAGTGTTGACTTCTTGGTGCTTTAAACTTTTCGATTTTGATCTTCTTCAAATTGTTGCAGAATCATTATACACGTTTTCTTGACGCTCATCATTAAGCCAAATTTTTGTGTTATTTTTTAAGATGTTTTGATTAAACTCTTAAATCGTTTACTGTTTCACACATGGTGACGAGATCAGCTGTGTATAACAGGGCTAAAATGTCAAAATTCACGTCGTTTTCACGTTTGCCATAATAAAAATCGTCGTTGCTGTATGAAAATTTCACGCTGACAACACCCGAGTCTCTTCTATAACTCTTCTGAACAATAAAATCAAAGAGAACGTTAAATAATATTGATGATGCTAGTCTACCTTTGAAATTTCGGTTTCTATCATAAAACTATTCAATAAGTCGTCTTGAATTCTGACTATTGCTTTCGAGTTCTTATAGAGGATTTTTAGCACACTGATGAGTTTTTCTAGAATTCCATACTTGCGGCAGACTCTCCACCGTAGTTCATAATTGACACAATCAGAAACTGGAAAGTTCAGCACGAAAAGAGAAATTAACTAAGACATGCTGATAATAAATAGATGGATGCCTATGTATGTTAATAAGATCAAGCACAAAAATAGAAGATGAAAAGCATTAGTGTACTTAAGTTTATCATAATTAGCAACACTTAATGGATAAAGAACAAATAATTAATTTCTAGTATAAATAATAACGAAACATTTGTTCTCCGACACTCATAGTTTCTCCATATGGCAAGTATTTTCAATAACGATGCAACAAAACAAAAAACCACGTTTACATCAGGATAGTTTTTGATACATAAAGGATCAATTCATCAGTGCAAAAAAAAAAGATATTGTCATTGTGTAAAATATTCTACACATTCTTATCATTCTCGTCTTCATACATGTATTGTTACAAAAAATATTGTTAAGTCATCAACATAGCATTCATGTAAAACTACTGGTACAATATTTGAACTACAGCAATTTGACGAGCAAAGTGCTTATGGTGTTCGTCATACACAAGAAAATGCCAGACATTATTATTACTCATTGTTACAAATGTAAAAATACTAAAGCTATAAAAGTAAGTTACATTAATAAACACCAATTCTATATATCTAGGTCTATCAGATCCGGGAATTCCTCGTTTACCATATCTATTTCCACCAATTATTCATTAGATTTTCATTTACAAATTGATTTTTCTTCTTTTGTGTTCAACTTTTCGGTGCTCATCTTCCTATGGTGATCTTTCCTCGTGTTCAACTTTGCTTGCTCATCTTTCGCCAAACCGACAGAATCATATTTAAGAATATTTAAGCAGTCACTACAAATAGGACGTCTAAACACACCTGTTGAGAAATTGAAATTCTGGTCGGTCTAAGAAATTTTCTTTGGCATTAGAAAATAATATTCAAGGTAATATAAACTCATTGCAATAATTAAAATCGTCTTTTCGCACTCAAGTTTTGAAATGCAACTCAGCTTTTAAACTTTGACTTGCATATTAAAAGTTAACTTAATTTATCTAGTCTTGAAAATTTCCAGTGTCTTATACTCACACACAACAAAAGCATAACTTCAGAATAATTTAGCCAAATCTATATGTTGATTAAGAAAGAAATTCTAAAATACAATTTCTAGATCGTCTAGCGACATTAATTGTACATGTGGGCGTTGCTTTTTAAGGTTCATGTGTCTACCCGTCTTGCACACTGTCAAATTCAAAATTTGGTTGTTCTTCATGAAACATAGAATTCGACTAAAGACTCTAAAATACAAAAATAAACTATTTAACAAAAAGCAAGATTTATTCAAGAACTTGAATCTATTACGATCATTCATGAACAGGATTGCCATCTCTTCCGTTTTTTGCGGAAAGTTTCCATTTTTTTTCTATTTTTTCCGCTCTCCGCTATTTTCCACTTTTAGATATAAAAACTTTTTTTTATATATTAAATCCGGTACAGAAGAATGCTTGTTCTTATTGAATAAATCGTGATCACTGACATGTACAGCTTTCTATCATTCTTATTGATTGATCTGTTAACTCATTGTAACAACATTAAAAATTTGTCTATGAAAGAGAGACACT